ACCCTAGAGCTCTAAACCCTAGCCCCTAAAACCCTAAACCCTAGAGTTCAAAACCCTAGCCGTTCAAACCCTAAACTGTAGAACATAAAATTCTAGGCCCTAAAGCTCTAAACCCTAAACCCTAATATTTCTCTAAACCCTAAACCCTCGTGAACACTGAAGAGAGCGACGGGCCCTTCACTTATCTGCATGAAGAACAGACAAATATTCTTTATTTATTTCTTTATTTATTATTTAATTGTTTATTTCTTTGCTTTTATTTATCTTTTTACCTATTACTTTTTTATTTATTATTTAATTGTTTATTTCTTTGCTTTTATTTATCTTTTTACCTATTACTTTAGTGGTGATGCTGCATAACGAAATTCAAAGCAGAGCGTCGCCTCGCGAGGCTAAGGGTTTAGGGTTTAGGGTTTAGGGTTTAGGGTTTAAGGTTTAGGGCTAGAGGGGGAATTTTAGTGCAGCTTTAGCGTAAAGGTCGTAATTTGCATCTTCCTTCAGCTAGCAGCAGTTGTATGCTCAAGAAAATTAGGGTTTAGGGTTTAGGGTTTAGGGTTTAGGGTTTAGGGTTTAGTGGGGCTGCAGCGGGGCCACCAGGGTGTTATGTGTGCAAAGGCAGCTTTGAAATATTCTTTTTATTTTATCAAACACACAAAAGATAGCGATATATCATCGGCTGGTGTATAGGGTTTAGGGTTTAGGGTCTAGGGTTTAGGGTTTAGGGTTACGGGCTGCGCAGCGGGCGACAGCCCTACAGCTGTAAACGCCGCTCAGCAGCAACAGCAGCAGCAACAGCAGCAGAAACGGCAACAGTAGCAGCAGCAGCAGCAGCGTCTGCTGCACTGACTTGAAGATCGAGGTCCTCTGCTGTTGCACACATGGAATGATATTGCTGCAGTGGATGGCTGGGCGAGTGTAGCAGCAGCAGCAGCAGCAGCAGCGGAAACAGCAGCAGCAGCAACAACACCAGCAGCAGCAGAAACAGTAACAGCAGCCGTAACAGCAAAAGCAGCAGAAACAGCAGTAAAAGCAGCAGCAGCAGTAGCAGCAATAGCAGCAGAAGGAGCAGCAGTAATACACACAGCAGCAGCAGAAGTGACAGCAGCAGCTGCTGCAGCAAGTGCTGCAGCAGGTGCTGCAGCAGAACGTCAGGGGCCCCTACGGCGCAGCCACCATCAGAGCAGCTATGCGAAGTAAGGCAGCAGCTCCAAAGAAACAGCAGCAGCAGCAGCAGCAGCGGCAACAAAGACTGCAGCAGCAGGACAAGCGTGCGGCGAAAAGGAGGGCTGACTGCAACGGGAGCAACAGCAGCAGCAGCAACAGCAGCAGCAGCAGCAGTCGCAGCAGCAGCAGCAGCAGCAGCAGCAGCAGCAGCAAGGACAGAATCCCCTGCTGCCAAATGTACGCAACGCTGCGTTGCTGCTGCTGCTGCAGCAGCAGCAACTCAACCATCTCCAGACAGCTGTGCTGCGCCAACTGCAGCAAGACAACCCGCCGCAGCTGCAGCAAGAGGCGCTGCGTTTGCTGCTAATGCAGCAGGGGCAGCAGCAGAGCATGCAGCAGCAGCAGCAACAACAACAACAACAGCAGCACAACCCGTATCAGCAGTCGCTGCAGCAGCTGTTACAGACTCCAATGCTGATGCGGCAGCAGCTGCTGCAACAGCTGCTGCTGCAGATGCAAAAGCCAGAAGCGCAACAGCAACAGCAGCAGCAGCAGCGGCAGCAGCAGCCGGTTATGCCTTCGACAGCTGCAGCTCCAGCAGCAGCAGCTGCAGCAGCATTCCATAGTGGCGCTGCTGCAGCATTCGCAGCAAGAGCAGCAAACGCAGCAGCGGCTGCTGCTGCAGCTGCTGCAGCTGGCAGGCGCGCTGCTTCTGGTGAAGCAAATGCAGACCTAAAGGCCGCTGCTGCTGCTGCTGCTGCTGCTGCTTCTGCCCAACAGCAGCGGAAGCAGCAGCAGCAGCAACAACAACAGCACCGACCGAACACAGGCCGTTCTGCTGCTGCTCCTGTTACGATTGTCGTCAGCGACGATGATTCCAGCAGCAGCAGCACGGAGAGCAGCAGCAGCAGCAGCAGCAGCAGCAGCAGCGGTGAGGAGGACACGGCAGCGTTCGGGTTGAATCGCTGCCGCAAGAGGAAGCAGCAACCCACTGCAGTTTCTGCTGCTGCTGCTGCTGCTGCTGCGCGGTACCGCCGCATTGCTGCTGTTGCTTCAGCAGCAAGGGCCCTGCCAGCACAGAAGGCTGCTGCAGCAGCAACAGCTGCTGCTGCTGCTGCAGCTGCTGCAGCAGCAAAGGCTGCGTCGCCGATTCATGCTTCAACAGCAGCAGCAGCTGCTGCTCCTGCTGCATCACCTAAGGCATCTCCTGTGGCTGCTTGTTTCCGTGCATCGCCGCTTGCTGCTGCTCGCGCTGCAGCAATTGCTGCTGCTGCTGCTGCTGCTGCTGCAAGTGCTGCAGGTAGGCAGCAGACCAAGGGAAAACAGAGCAGCAGCG